AAATCCATGTTTATTTGACAAACACATGCTTAGAAATGGTTAAGCCAAGATAGTTAACCATTTAGTTTGGTTTCTGTTGCCACAACACCATGACTAGAGGCAATTTGGAGAGGGAAGGGTTTATCTTACAGGTTACAGCCCATTGTCATATGCCAGGGTAGGAACTGAAGGCAGGCACTTGAAGCAGAGACCATAGAGCAATGCCTTTTACTGGCTTGCCCCCTCCAGGCTGCTCTTATTGAGCCCATCCTCCTACCTGGGATGGCACTGTGGGCCAGCCCTCCTAGGTCAACTAGCAATTAAAAACCGCCTCACCAACATGATCACAGGCCAATGTGATGGAGACATTTCCTAAATTGAGTGACGCTCTTCCCAAATAACTCTAGGTTTGTGTCACGTTGACAGCTGACACTAAATATGACATTAACAAGTGTATTAAGTCATTATCTTCCTAGGGTGCTCTTGTTTGTTTTGTTGGTTGTCTTTTGTCAGATTCTCATTTTGAAATCCAATCTGGCACAGAACTCTCTATGTAGCCCAGGCTAGCTTCAGACTCATAGCAACTTTGCTATCAGCCTCCCAAGTGCTACTATTACAGACATGTGCCAAACCATATCCTTGTGAAGACAAGATTAGTCCTTCAAATTTTTTGTTCAGTATATTAGCTGTTTTCACTACATTGAACGGTGAATTTCTTTAACTTGTGACTCTTAACTAATTGAAATTTGCATCATTTCACTGTTGTCTCCAAATCCTGCTCTATCATTTTTAAAATCAAATAATCAAGTTGTTACTTATTTCTTAGTATTTACCTGTCCTTCCTTTTCACCTCCTTGACTCGAGCTAAAACTCTGTGTTTTATATGCAATTTATATATATATATATATATAATTTAAATGCAATTTAAAACAGGCAGCCTTCTGATTCCATGTTATTCTGTATTTCATTTGAAAACATAGGCTTACTTGTCTTTCTTTCATTGATTGCATGATACATATTTCAAGAATTACAACTGTGTCTTTGAACTTGGAATGCTAAAAATAATTAGAATGTAAATATTATCAAGTATAAGCTTATTATATAGAGCTGAAAGTGATAAAAAGAAAGGGAGAGAACCCATCTCAGAACTTCCTAAAAATCAATAGTTAACAGTCCTGACTTAATAACCAAAGCTTGATTCAGCATTTTTGTGAACTCCCTTTATTTTACCTTTTCTGCTAACTCAAGCTCTTAACTGCCAACTCCTGCAGTTATCGACAGAGTTAGCTCTTGAGTTCATCAAGAACTCACTGTTACGTTCAGGAAGGAAGTAGGAGCTTCTAGCCTCTTCTCCTTAAACTCCTTCCTATTTCTACTTTAGAGTTAAAGCAAGTGCTTCCTTCACTTCTAAACATAGCCTGCCAAGTCCTTCCCCAAACTTTTAATATAAAAATTGTCCATATTGGAATGTGATACTCATTAAACAAGCATACTGTGTGGAATGACTGAATCAAGCTAATTGATAATCAATCACCTTATAATTTTGACATATAAGTTCTATTTCTACATTACTATTGACTATGGAGCTATGGGATACATCTCAGAAGTCATTCCTGCCTTCATATAGAGCATGTTATTACTGGACCAACAATTCAATATGTGCTGTGCTCACTGGTGCACACAGGTGTGTCTGGTGGATAACCCAGAATCGAGGCACAACCTAAGAATCTATAATTGCATGCCATCAAAAGGACATGAAAATACTAGATTTTCACACAGAAATTATTGTATGCTTAAAAAGCATCTTTCATAGCATTAAACCAATCAACGGAGTCAGAAAATACCATGCTGTAATTTGTATAAATTATGTCACATTAGCTAAAAATAAAGTAAAATACTTACACAAATAGCATTGGTAATACATCTATCCATTTATTTCAATTTGTATAGACTTCAATTAGCCTGACATATATATATATATATATATATATATATATATATATATATATATATATATATATATATAAACATAAAAATTAAAAATCAGTAATAAAGTAATGTTAATAACCTCAAACGTGGGTATTAACATATATTGAAAGTATGTTGAAATTTAGCACCAGTGAAAACAGTGTTTTACAGCATTTAAAAAAAAATAAATAGCTGGCTGTTCTAGTTCTGTAATCCCAGCAATCCAGAAGTTGAGGCAAGAGGGTTACAAGTTTGAGGCCAACCTAGTATCAATAGTAGAATTATGACTCAAAAAACAAAAGAGAAGGAGAGAGATAGTACCTAGAACAAAACTGATAACAATAAGTGGATCTACTATAGCACAAAATTAATCATAGAATCATATTTGAGAAACTAAGGATAAAGATAAAAGAAAATAAAAGGAAGAAATTCATCATAGCAAATACCCATGGAATTTAAAAGCACACAAAAAAAAATAGGAAAAGTTTTGGTGTTTTAAGTAACAAAGAAATGTGATAACCCCCTATAAAGACGTATCAAGAACAGAATATGTATTTATCAACCACAGACATAGAAAGCAAACATGTTTCAGGTCTTACTTAAGACAAATAACAATGTTACTCACAAACTCATTCTAACCAATGTAAGTTATATGAAAGTACCAGTTTGTGAAAATTTTAATCTAGCATAGAAATTAAAATAAGATTATTATTATATTTTCATATATTTCTAATTTAAAATATTTATAAGCATACACATGTACACCAAAACATTTTCAAGGAAGAATCTACAATCTAAAAATCAGCCAGCTCCAACCTAAGTCCAAACACGGCGTTGCTGTTCTAACAGTGGAAAATTACAGGCCAAACTCTTTCGTGAGTATTAAAATAAAATTCAACTTTACAATTAACTGATCTATCAGAATAGGACATATGCTTGTCTTGTCTTATTACTTTTCTCTTTCTATGATAAAACACCATAGTCAAGACAACTTATAGAAGAATATGTTTAATTGGGAGCTTACAGCTTCAGAGAGTTAGAGTCCATGGAATGAAGTCATAGTGGCAGGAGTACATAAGAGATTTTATCTTGATCATCTAGTTGTGAACAGATAGACACTGGGAATGGCCAAAGTCTTTTGAAATCCTAAAGCCCACCCCCCAGTGGTATGCCTCCTCCAGCAAGGTCACATCACATAATCCTTCCCAAACAGTCCCATCACCTGGGACCAAATATAATACATGAGCCTGAGGAAGCCATGTTCATTCACACCATCACAATGCTGTGATAACCAGTAGAGTTTGCTTTTGAAAAGACTATGTTATTTAGTATTTGAAAATCAGTCAGTGCCACTCACTGTACTAATAGGTAAAATGGAAAAATCATTTCAACACATTCAAAATATATTTGATAATATTCACTGGGATTCAGAAAAATTGTGTGAGATTTTTAGCAGTGTAATAATATAAATTTTTCTTACTTTATGTAAGTGTCTCTTCCCACACACAGCCTCCCAAAATGGAAAACATTGTAATAGCCATAGTGTTGTAGTGTTTAAGTTGTTTATTTAAATATGTAGCTGTTAAAAAATGTTATTAAGAATTTTTTTTAATTTTGTGAAGATGTCATGGGAATTTTGATTAAGATTGGACAGAATCTTTAAAAAACTTTTGGTAGAATATATTAATTTTATCAACTCATGAGAATGAGAAGTCTTTCCATTGCCTGGTGTGCTGTGGGATGGTCTGTATGTCAAATGTGTTGTTGATTGGTCAATGAATAAATCACTGATTGGTCAGTGGCCAGGCAGGAAGTATAGGCGGGACTAACAGAGAGGAGAATTGAGAGAACAGGAAGCTGGGTGAAGGAGACAGTGCCAGCCACCATCAGGACAAGGAAGATGTAAAGTACCGGTAAGCCACAAGCCACGTGGCAAGGTATAGATTAATAGAAATGGATTAATTTAAGCTGTAAGAACAGTTAGCAAAAAGCCTGCCACGGCCATACAGTTTGTAACCAATATAAGTCTCTGTGTTTACTTGGTCGGGTTTGAGTGGCTGTGGGACTGGCGGGTGTCAGAGATTTGTCCTGACTGTGGGCCAGGCAGGAAAATTCAAGCTACACTGGTGTCTTTCTCAATCTTTTTTCAGAGATAGAAAGTTTTCATTGTAGAAGCCTTTTGCCTTCTTGGTTATATTTATTCCTAGATACTGTATTTTCTTTGAAGTTATTGTTAACGGGAGTATGTCTGTGATCTCTTTTTGATATAGATGTATGTTTGATATAGAAAGGTTACTGATTCTTTAAGCGTATTTTGTATCCTGTCACTTTGCTTAAATTATTGATCTTTCAAAAAACTTTCAAGTGGAGTTCTAAGATATTTCATAAAGTATGTATTTAACCTTAACTGTTTTGATAAATGCAGCTCAGTGGTGGGAACACCTGTTTGAGATGCCATGTTTCATCCTCAGCACCATAAAAACAAAAAAAGAAGTTACACACACATGCACTCACACACACACACACACACACACACACACATACTCATACACACATATATATACTCTCATACATACGCACACACTCATACACACACATGCACACACATACATACTCATACACTCACACTCACATACACTCGTACACTCACATACACATACAACCACACATACACAAACATACACATTAATATACTCACATATACACACATTCGTACACACACGTACGCATATACACATACACACATACATACACATATACACATACACACACATATATACATACACATACACAAATATTTCACACACACAATATGTAAATAAATGTAAATTGTGTGTCTCCTCTGCTCAGTTTCCTAGTATCACCAGAAAAATATCTGGAAAATGAAATCTGCTTAATGAGTAATTATTAATAAAAGAAATTTATAAAATAGTAGAATGATATACTAAATTCTTACTAAGCCTGTTCATGAATCTTTCTAAACTTTTCTATGATATAAGAGCACTACTACTGCACATTGATCCTGAGTTCAGGGCTATCCTGAGCTTTTTAGTGAAACCTGGACTTAAGAAAAAGATGCCAAACCTTAAAAAAATAAAATAAAATGACCACAACGTATTCATTACAGTTAACATTCTGATGAAAGTTTACAGAGTCGCAGATATTGCAGTTTATTCCAGAACAACATACTAAAGAATAAATGAAACCAAATAATAAATATTGTCACAATCTTTTCATTGATATGCATTTATCTTCTTTGAAAAATCTATAAACACACTGCATATTTTCTCATTATCAGGTGCTAAAAATAAATAATATTCATCTTTTGATTGTGCCATAATGCAAAGCTCATGAAAAACTATAGTACCTGAAGGAACATACAAAGACACCTTGTGTTTCTTTACAAAAGAACAAAGTGCAGCTCGGGTACGATCTCAGGATGGAATCCTTACCAAGCATCCCACTGCAGAGTGAGCAGAAATTAAGAGAGGAAATCAATATTTCACCGCAGAGTATTTTTAGAGTTCAAAATTATAGGACACAGAAGGCTCTGACAGAGAGCAAGCGAACGGTGCACAGTGTGTGTGTCTGAAATGTCTAAAAATGCTTCACTTGACAGAGCTGTGCAAAGGGTTACCTGGGTAGCTGGCACTGAAGACAGTTTCTCACCTGTCTCTCCTCCAGATCCGAGCAGAGAAAACGTGCCGTCTAGTCTTACAGTGTCTACTACAGCTTACGTGCTTGAATTAGGTCCGATTTTCCAAAACGTTTTAATGGCATGCAAGGTCTGTCCACCATAACATAATTTTCAAAACACGAACAGGTACCTAGAAGAGGTCATCAAATATTTAAATAACTAGAAGTCACCACGGGCACTGGGACTGGCAGAGTGAGACACTTCAGAGTGGCCTCGAGTCTCAGCTGATTTCATTGACTTTTTAAATGAAAGTTCAGACCAATTTTAATGGCACTCTAGCATTTTACATATAAATGTGCTAAAGTTTATTTCAGTAATTCCCTGGGGCATTACAAAGATGTCCAGTGTGTGTTTAAAAACACAGTGTGATAAATATCTTTCATGAACTATCAACAAATTTTCCCCTTTACTTTGATTTCTGATCAAAATTAAATAAAGTTGGTGGGAAAAATCAAACTATTAGCAGAAAAGTCAAAATAATTTATTTTCTCACCCGTACCAAAATTTCCATTATATTGCTAATTTCTCTTTTATTTCTTCATCTGGTTATACATATATTACTGACCATTCCTTATTTAATGCTTTTGTGTGGGGTCTATATATCAAGTGAAAATATAATTTTATTTGTCACAAATATTTGCTCCTCCTTTGTGTATGAGGATTACACAGCCCCCACCTAATCTCAAGAGGCTTTTGGAGCCTCCTGCAAGGTGCATTCATGCCTAGCATGTAGGAAATCAAGTTGAACTTTTCCCTTTTCACATGAACAGATACAATATCTTTCATCGATGAGCAGAGCCTTTCTAAAAAAGCATGGCATGCTTCTCTTTTCACATTTTCAATCCTTTCTCTGACAAGTAATGTACCTCCCAAAGGATACCTGCTTCTGTCTCCTGAATCCTGAAGAGGAGACACCTGTCCACAATCCACTGGGACCCACGGTTCAAATGTAACATGTTATGTTAAGGCACAGATTCAAACATTCTATCTTACTGTAGCAAAATACAATGTTCTTTGAAGATCATTCACTTAGATAAATGTCTTTGTGCTGCACAATTTGAGAGCTGTTAATGAACATCAAAGCTAATACCCAAATGTTTATCATAACCGTGTCTTAGAAAATTTGGGCACTTCAATTTTTATTGTAACTTTCCAGTTAATTTCTTATATGTGTATTTCTGTTTTGTGTAAAAATATCATTTTGAAATAATAATTATTTTAATGGGATCCTTAGAATGCCTTCTGCATCCTGAAATTATAAAACCCCGATATCTTGCTGCTTATTTTAGGATTGAATTTTTCTTAAGTAAAGAATCGAGTGCTTAGTACGTTGCTTTGTAAGAATCTTGCTCTTATTTCTAAGTTATTATCTGAATTTCAGTTATTGTAAAAAAACAACCCATCTCATGTATATGTTATTGCTAAATTATATTCTGAAGTACTGCTGGAGAATCATTTGTGCATATGTAGGTTTAGCTGTGTCACTCAATACCACTTCCTGTTCCAAATCAACTCACTTGACTGCAAAAGGAGGGGATAAAGGATAACACTCTGGGTCTGGCCGGGACACCTCGGACATCTCAGCATCAGCACTTATGCAGATGTGAAACCTGGCCAGAAGTAGACAAGACTCAGGCGTATTGGTGGAGAAGATGAGTAAGAATAAAGGAATCCATTCTGGTGAACTGGTTAACTATTTGGCTACTCATTCATCAGTGACATCACAGTGGAAAGACTTCTGAGGCCTCCCACATGCTGTGTAAATGGCTTCTAAAGACTCTTTCAAGACTCAACTACACAGTGTATTTGTGTACTTATATATACATGCATGCATTGGTATATTTCACAAGACCCACCGTCTTTCATTTTCTTCAGGTTTTATATTATAAAAGCTTCCACATAAAAATCTATAATCATATGTCAGTGCAATGACTTAAAACCAATAGTTCCTAAAAAAAATATTATTTCTTTACTAGGTTAGCAACAGGTTTAAAATATAGTGGCACCAATATATTATGGTCCTATATGCTTGCTAGAGTGAGCATAAAAGATTCAGTCGTCCACACTGAGAAATGGAACAATGACTTCATTTCTTTCTAGACACAAAGAACCTTAAAATTTTCAAATATAAAGTTTGAAAGGAAGGTAATTCTCCTCATGTTCTTTCATAATAGTTCTTTGAACACAATACACATTAAGAATAACAAAAAGAAGTCTTTCATTTTACAAAGAGAATCATTTAAGAAATGAAAATGTCATAAGAAAAGAAAATGAAAATTGGAATCTAATTCTCTATAAATGTCTCCTCTGTTGAATTCATTGTCATTCATATAATAATGTGAGTGGAGTGGAGTCATCAAAATTGTCAAAAGTCTGCAAATATTCTTGTCTTGTGTTATCTGATAAAAATGAAATCACCTCGAAATATGTATTGTATACAAGATTCTTGGCATTTCTCCAGTGTCCTATTGGATATATTATTATGATAATTGAAATGTGTATATTTAAATAATATACTCTTACTGTACAACCATCAAATAAGAAGAGCCACAATTAATCATTGGAGCTAGAGTGGATAATTGTAAAGGAAATTATGAATAGTATTTTCTTCCATCTTTCAATTATTTGAACTTATTGCACTAACAGAAATAGAAATCTCTCTAATTGTTTCTTGAAGAATTCTCAATGAATAACAATACATTCTTTAGCTACCAAGAATGCACCACTATTCAGAAAGCACCTATATTATGTAAATACAGTTTTACTTGATTGATTGTCCACTGTAGCATTCCTGACTGGTTTTAGAAATGAATATTTGCCTTATTGGGTTCATGCATAATCACTATAATACTGTGTGATCACTCTGGCTTCCCAGGGAAGGTCTTATGTATACTTCAAGGAAGCAGTGCCACTATATGGAGGTAATGTTAAAAGGAAATTCAATTGGTTATTTCCTTGTTCATCACTGTCTGTGTTAGCTTTCTGTTGATGTGACAAAATACCTGCAAACAAATAGAAAAAAACAACTTTAGAGATGGAAGACATATCTTAGTACATGGCTTAAGCTGCTTCAGTTCATGGTTACTTGACTCCACCACTGTATGCCAGAATCAAGTCTAAACATCTTGACAAGGAACGTGTTTAGAGCAGCTATTCACCTTGTGGCAACCAGAAAGCAAAGAAAACAGAGCAAGGGGTTCAAGAACAAGATACAACCCCAAGGGGGCTAACCCAAGTGACCTCCTTCCTCCAACTACAGTCTGTCTCCTAAGTTAGATCACCTCCCAAAGGTCTATTCAGCTATGAATCCACCAGTGATTTATAAAGTGAAAGCATTCAGGACTCAATCTCCTATGAATACTGTTGCCTGAGATACCAATGTTCAATGCATGAGCCACTGAGGGGAATTTCAAATTAATTCATAGCAACTGAACATACCTGATGAAAATCCAAGGTTTACCAAGTGATAAATCAAATCACAACATAACAACATGTATAGATCTTAAACTTAGGGAAGGGATTCAGGAAGCAAAGAGATGTTTTAGGTTCCAAAGGGGATAAAGGGGATAAAGCTGATGTTCACTCCCTCCTTCATGCTTTCTACTTAGACATTTATCCTACATCCTAGATTAATTAGAAATAACATCAATTGGTCAGCTATTATATGTACTATATACTTTATATAATCATATGTCTTAGGAGTTTCCAACATTCTCTATCTTTTTTGCCCCAGACACCAAAACAATCATCTACAGCTCAATGAAAGTCAGTTTTTCTTGAAATAAATTATCAGACCATAGCTGAGGAACCAGAGGAGGAGGAGGAGGAGAAGGAGGAGGAGGAGGAGGAGGAGGAGGAGGAGGAGGAGGAGGAGGAGGAGGGGGAGAGGAGGAGGAAGAGGAGAAGGAGGAGGAGGAGATGCTGAACAACAATTTCCACCCCCTCCCTGGTTTTCCCAACTGCTATGCACACAGTGCATCTACTAGCAAAATGCTGCAGAGGAAGGAAAGCCATAACATAGGCAAATATGGCTGCTTCTTTTTTCAAAAAGAAAATGACAGTAGTCTCTTTGACCCGACTCACCTGCCAGCAAATCTCAGACTTTCTTCAGGTACTGAAGGTGTAAAGATCCAAAGTGGCAAGAGCTCATCATCTCTCTGAATAGAAATAAAAACAGTCCAATTTTAGGAAATGAGAAGAGAAGACTACCACAGGAAGCAATCCTGTGTCGATTACACGGAACATACCTGACTGCCTCAGAAATAAAGCTGCTGAAGTATAGGGTTCTGCCACTGTGTTTTTTAAGAGAGAGATCAGTGTGATTTTCTCACCTTATCCTTTTATCTCTGTCTTCATATTCCGATATGAGACTTGTTCTTTTGACTCAGCATTAGTGAGCTGCATCTTGTCACTCCATCTTACTTGCTATGTTATTATTCTTCATACTCATAAAATGAACTCAGTGAAAGATCTTATCTGTCATAAATAAAAGTGAGTCACAACCTCATTTATTAAAGTATAAAATATGCAAGGAAAATTCTACAATGATAATAATTTGGCTTAATTTATTTTCTTATTCTTTTCTGAGTTGATGACCATATAGAGCTTTGCTGCAATAGTAACTATTTCTCATAGCTCATGTATATAGGAGATGTTCCATAGTGCTTTTAAATGAACTCACAGGTATGTATTCAGTCAAATTCCAGCATAATGCTGTTTCCAATGATTGGTAATATGGCATGGAGCTAATATATGATGTTATTTTCAGTTCAGAAAATCGTTAATGGATATTAAAGAAGGATATTTTGAAGACAATAAGATTACCTTCCAAGATGCAATTTGGAGTAACTCTGCAAAAAATCTTCTGGTAAAAACTCCATGTATCTGCAGAGATCTACAACCAAACATCAGGCAAGGCTCCAGGAGTCCAGTCAAAGAGAGAAAGAGGGATTCTATGAGCAAGTGCATCAGGATCATGATGGGGAAACCTGCAGAGACAACCAAACCAAACTAGTGGGAACTCATGAAAGTTGCATCAATGGCTGTGGAGCCTTCATGGGACTGGATTAGGCCCTCTGCATGGCGAGACAGCTGTGTAGATTGATCTGCTTGAGGGCCCCCTGGTGATAGGATCAGAACCCATCCCTGGTACATGAGTGGACTTTCTGGAGCCCAACATCTATTATGGGATACCTCGTGCAGCCTTGAGGCAGGAGGAAGGGCTTGGACTTACCTGTATTGGATGTGCCTCCCCATGGGAGGCCTTGCCTTCTTGTAGGGGGAGTAGAGGTGGGTTGGGAGGGGGAGGGTTGGAGAGCAGGAGGAGGGAAGAGGGGGATCTTTGATTGGTGTGTAAAGTGGATGAAAAACTTTTCTTAATAAAAAAATTAAAAATAAATAAATAAATAAAACTCCATGTGTCATAAGCTCCATGCCAATCACAAAGCTCATTCTTTTTTTTAATGGGCAGAGGTAAAGAATCTTGAAAAAGTAGTTGATAAGGAAAAAGACTCACAATTTAGTGTGTACATTTCCCACTGACACCTGAATGATATCAATGCATGCAAATTCACATGACCCAGGTAAAAAGTAAACTACTGATCTGAGATGTAAACTATCATTCAAGAGAAAGCCAGATTTCCTTGAGTTTATTGTCTCCTAATAGAAAATCAATGTCCATTCAAACACTGTGATAGAATTCAGTCTCAGGCCCTCTCTCTCTCTCTCTCTCTCTCTCTCTCTCTCTCTCTCTCTCTCTCTCTCCCTCCCTCCCTCCCTCCTTCTCTCTCTCTCTCCCTCCCTCTGTGTGTGTGTGTGTATGTGTGTCCTCTACATATGTGTGTATAATGATATAATATAAAGAAAAAAATGTGATAATTTCTTATAACATGAAAATAACCAAAATTACCATTTAGGTCCAATAGCAGAAGTGGGTATTCCTATAAGCACTTCCACAGTGAAACAGACTTGTTACTTAAAGTCTGATACTGACAAATTTTTCTAAAGGGCTGATCGGATAAAAGTCAGGGACTTCTGTTAGCTTTCTAGTCATACTTCATTAGGTGCATGAAAACAGAAACCCGCTGCTGCCATCCAGAGGAGAGAGAGGCTTCTGGCAGCCTGCTACCTTCCGGGATGCCAAGAGTTCTGGTCCTGGAACACTGGCATCAACTTACAACATGGGTCTTCGGAAGTCTAGTGGCCCGCTTCCACCACTGCTGAAGGAAGTGTCTTTGTATTATTTCACCTTTCAGATATTTCCCAGATAAATTTCACTGACAAAACCTAATCACATTTAAACCTGAGAGCAGGGAATTAGTATTCGAAGGTTTCCAGACCCTGTATAAAGAGTGAGGATGAATTGAGAAGTTAGCCAATATGCAACAGTACTTCTAGCTAATTCACATGAAAAATAAATATGAAAAGTATTAAAACATATGTCAGGTGGTCCAAATTACAAGATCTTTCCCCTTTTTGTTTCTAGTGATATTCGGGCTTCTAGAATCATTTATTAAAACTTAAGAATTTTGTTTTAGCCAATGAGTTCATGAAAAGATGTTTCTATCCAACAGGGCAAAAGTTCTTCTGTAAAATCAAGAAGAGCAAGGAAGTTGAGGAGGGGATGCCTCGATGGGGTCTGTCACCCAGACAGGAGATAGATTGGATTCCTGCTGAGAGATGTAGGGATCAGAAATGAAAAGCAGAGCTTCAGAAAATATGGAACACTTTTGTATAAATAGACAATGCCTGTCCCATATCTGTGAAAAAAAAATATTCTCTGGTTTGCCACTGAAATGTATTCTAACACAGTAGGAAGTAAATAAAAATATACCCATTTGGCAACTTGCACTGTTTATGTTTTAGGTAGCTTCTGGATGCAGAAACTTGGAAGGGAATTCAACCACCAACATTGCAGACCATCTCAAGACAGAAGCCATTGAAAGGGGCTTGTCATAAGTTCTACTTAGGTTGTAACTAGAATGATGTTAATTCTCAGCAAAGGAACATGAGGTATTAGTTATTAGGTTATATTATTTATTAGTATGGAAAAGACTCGTAATTATTTTGAAGTGGCAAGATGGAAAGCAAAAGCCTTACTTTTGTTTTTAGGCAAAGAAATGCAGTAAGAAACATTACTATGACTACATATTTTTCGCATAAATAGAAAGGCTATGAATGTTTAAGTTAGACACACATGGAGTTGTCTCAGTCTCTGTCTTTTCTCTGACTAGGCATTATGAACATATCTCACTTACACATCTGATATCCAGTTCTGATGCCCTGAGCCTTTTTACAGTACAGTATTTCACCCTTGTTAAATTCTTACTGAAAAACTGGGCAAATTCCTCTAGCTCTGAAGAGAAAAAAAAATGCCCTTTCCAAATAAGCTTGAGAAAAGCCTGACAAAGGCTGCTATTGAATCAGAATTTTTACTTGAATGTGACAAAGAAACCTCCATGAAATTCTGGGGGACAGGAGGCAAGGAAGCAGCTACCAAAGCCCTCATTTCAGCTTGGCCCCTTCTCTCCTGGAAGGACATTCTTATTCTGACACAAAAGCCAAACCAGGAGGTTCTTTGACAGGGCATTTAATATAAGCAGTAATTCTCCCATCCAGTTTTACTATCTTTGAGGTACTTACTCTGATTATCTTCGTTTTAAAAGTCAAGAAACAGGCACAGAAAGGTTAAATACCTTGTTCAAGTACTCTGTACACGTGGGTTACATATTACATCCGTCCTATGAATAGAAACTGAATATCTTAGTTTTCCAGACTCACCTACTGTAGAAAGATACTTAGAACCTACAGCATCTTTCTAAACATTTATCTATATGTTTCAGGGGGTGTTAATAAGGATTGGTTTGTGTTATGCTGATTCACGAAGAGGAAATTTTTGAATGTGGAAATAATGTAGAATTCCAGCTTAAAGTAAAAATCATTCATCATAATTTGACACATACATTTTATTTATTTATTGTTTATTTTTATTTATTCATTTATTTATTTTACATCCTGGCTGCAGTTTCTTCTCCCTCCTTTTCTTCTGGTCTCTCCTGATTCCCCCTCTGTTCCCATCCCCCAATCCACTCTTCATCTGTGAAACATAAATTTTAACTTACAAGCTATTGAATTCTTTTTCTTCCTTTTTTTTTACTTTTTCTTTATTAAGGAATTTTCTACTCACTCCACATACCACCCATAGATCTCCCCTCCTCCCTCCTCCCTCCTCCCTCCTCCCACCCCCCCAGCCCTCTTTCCCAAGCAATCCAGCATCCCCACATCCCCCAAATCAAGGTCTCCTATGGGGAGTCAGCAGAGCCCAGCACACTGAGCCTAGGCAGGTCCAAGCCCCTCCCCACTGCATCAAGGCTGCGCAAGGTGTCACACCACAGGCACCAGATTCCCAGAAGCCTGCCCATAGACCAGGGACAGGTCCCGATCCCCCTGCCTGGGTGCCCCCCAAACAGTTCGAGCCAAACAACCGTCTTCCATATCCAGAAGGCCTAGTCCAGTCCCATGGGGGCTCCACAGCCACCAGTCTGCAGTTCATGGGTTTCCACTAGTGTGGCCAGTCATCTCTGCACATCCTCCCATCATGATCTTGACCTCCCTTGCCTGCAGAATCCCTCCTCTCTCTCATCAATTAGATTCCCTGAGCTCAGCCTGGTGCCTGGCCATGGATCTCTACATCTGCCTCCATCAGTCACTGGACAAAGGCTCTATGATGACAACTAGGTTATGTGTTAGACCGGTCACCAGAGTAGACCAGCCCAGGCACCCTCTGGACCACTGCCAGCAGACCAAGGTGAGGTCATCCTTGTGGATTCCTGAGAGCCTCCCTAGGATGTGGAGCAAGGGGAACACTCCTCCACTGTTGGTGGGAATGCAAACTTGTACAGCCACTCTGGAAATCAGTATGGCAACTTCTCAGAAAATTGGGAATAAGTCTTCCTCAAGACCCAGCTATACCACTCTTGGGCATATACCCAAGGAATGCTCAATCTTACCACAAGGACACAAGCTCAACTATGTTCATATCAGCATTATTTGTAATAGCGAGAACCTGGAAACAACCTAGATGCCCCTCAACTGAAGAATGGATAAAGAAAATGTGGCACATATACACAATGGAGTACTATTCAGCAGTAAAAAAAAATGATATCATGAAATTTGCAGGCAAATGGATGGAACTAGAAAATATCATCTTGAGTGAGAGGTAACACAGACTCAGAAGGACAAACGTAGTATGTATCACTCATAAGTGGATACTAGATGTGAGGGAAGGTTGGAATAGCTACACACTACAGGGAAGGGATGGCCAGACTGCAACCCACAACTCCAGAGAGGCTAGCTAAACAGGAAAAGACCCTAGGAGGGACACATGGATGACCCTGTGAAGGAGAAGTGGATGAGAGCTACATGAGTGGACTGGGTGTGGGGGGTGGCAGAGGACGAGGAGTG